TTCTTTTCATTTGATAAATTATTAGTCGAGTGTCCGGTATTGTTTCTGTTGATTATCAAATCAATTCATTGATGAAAACCAGCCCTAACAATTGCTGGTATAATGGAAGAGCACAAGTTGTGCAACATTGCTATTTTTGTTTTATCAGGAGATTCTGGATGGAACTAGAACACCTTTGATAAATGATTAGCAATCCAGGGACCTGTAGTGGCATCCTCATACCTCATCCCCGTCTCCCTGTGGCTCGTCACACAGTAACAGCAGTTATCGTCCGCAGCTGCTAAATGCGGCCCTTCCTTCTTAACTGTATTCATACAGTCGTGGAGTGATGACCCATTTCCATTTGTCTTGTGGCTTTTGCTGGTGGTTACAGATACAGATGGATGCCACTGATAAGCATCCAGATTAGAGCAACACTGCACCCCACAGGCAAAACGCATGAGCAAAGGTGGAGGGAAAGTAGGTCAGATGGAAGGAGGTGGAGGGTAGAGACAGATACCAGGTAGAGGGTGAGAGCGAGACAAAAGTATAGACGGGGTGGGGATAGAGAACAAGAGCCGCTTTATCTTTTGCATCTTCTGCTTTTGAAACAAACACGGGATACACATGAAATAAGAGCATTCTAACCCACAGTCTATTTCTGAATAGTAGGAGCTGTCTGCCCAGATGCCGAGGAGACTGCTCTGCTCTCAGGAGACAGTGTTTTACTGAGTTTAGGACCAGGGAACTGTAGCACTCTGCTTGAATGTGACAGATTGAATGTCGTCATTGGTGCCCGCATCAAGCTTATATTAAGATATTAAATATTTAATTCAGCCTGAACCACCAGGGACTGTCATAGCTAACAATGGGATTTTGTGAACCAGTGTGAATGTGATTGGGCAGATGCTGAGTCTTGACACTGGAAAATAGTCCATGGTTTCTACCTGGATCCCTCTTTCTGTTGTGTTTAATGCACATGTATGTCTTTGTGATAGAAACTTTTTGTTTTGTTTATTGTGTCTGACTAGAGATGGAAGATTTGGAGAGGCCCTGTATATGTTCCCAGGAAACAGCAATGTGTTCAAGTGAACAAAAGGTGGCGCCAACAGCATGTTTTTGGATTCTGGTTGAAAAGCAAATCAATTTAGAAATTAAATAATCTCAACAATTGATTCACCTGTAATGGGCAGCTCACATGGATGATGGAGCCCAAAATGATATCAAGATTAAACAAAGAATTTCACAGTTTATATGAATAACTATCAGTATAAATGTCTTATGTAAATGTTTTGATTTATTATTTGATTTATTACAGACTGATCGTGGTTTCAAACTTTTCGTTAGGGACAGATTATGACTAACACTACAAGTCTGAATTATGTTCTATACCTCCCCTCTGTGCTTGTATGATGCATAAGTATTAAACTGAGATATATTGGACTTTTGTTATATTGCTTTCAATGAAAATTATATTGCAAAAGCTATTAATATTGTTTTATTGCCTAGCCCTAACCACATGCCATGTTTGGCAATCTATTTAATAATGTTCTATCTTAAATTTAAGAAAATAACATTTAAGCAAATTTATTTCCAAAACATTCTGACATCCAGTTATTTGAGAGGTTTTCTGCAAATGTAAGTGCAAATGTTCTGCACAGATATATAGAGTACAGCCTTGCTTATGCTGGCCCATCATCACTGGAACATTCAACCTTTTTGGATTTTTGGACACACATTACTGTTACAAACTGTTTGGCATAAATGCAGAAAAACAACATTTTAAAACCTGGGGTTTTGAAAGTTGCTATAGAAATAAAGTTTAACATAAAGTACAGTCTTTAAAACTCGTCCAGTGCTGCAGAGTTTGTACATGATGAGGTAAATCCATTCACAACGTGCGTAGATGTGTGTCTGCCTATGCTGCAGGAAAGGACATGTTGACCTTCAGTGCCCGACTTGTCTGGACCTACTGTGCCACATTACTATTCTACACAAGTTGTGTGTGTAGTCGTGTGTGTGTCTTGGCCTGTGCACTTGCAGTTGTAAATGTATGCGCCGGTATCAGCATCAGTGTACATGCATATGTCCTCTGAGCAGCTGTGTCAGGCAGCGTACTTGGTTACCGACCATCCTCGTCTCCCTTTTCTCTTTTTCAGCAGAATCACCTTCGTCTTCGATCTGCTCCTCTCCCTTCTCATCCGTGTCTGGCCGGAGTGAGACCAGTGGGGGTCCATGGAGTGATCTGTAAATGGCTGAGGAGCTGTGCAAAGGCTGGTTTCGCATCATCGCAGGTACAGTAAAACACCTTTCTTTAAAAACAGTACATGACCTCCTCAGCAGTGACATTTCATTTTGCGTGTCTCTTCTCATGGACTTTTACTTTATGTGCTTGTGGTTGTCACCTTCATGTTCTCTGTTGACCTTACTGATGTGTTTTCACCATGACATAATGATATGGGTGTTTTTGAAGGCTTATATGCATTTGTGTGTTCGCTGTGTGTTTGCATCATCACTGTGCAGCGTGTTCTCTGACATGTCAGGAAACATGGTGTCACTGTCGTTTAGAGAGAACAAGGGAGCAGGGTGGAAAGATGAGATATGAAAAGGAGATTTATCTCCATGGCATCTCCTTGTCAATTCTGGGGTAGGCCTGTGCTTCTGAGATCAGCCTAAATAATAAAACAACTGGTTTTTGGATCAACCTGTGCCACATGACCTGTGTGTTACATGAGTGGTAGCTTTGACTGTGGCTGCAGAGTTTTAATGGGATTTGAATTCAAATGTTCTGCATCATAGTAAATCTGTTTTGCATCTTATTTTGAACTGACTTTTGATGAACAGTTTGTCAGTATACAAGCACTGAAATCTATGATAGTAACACCCAAATTGGTCAATTGTCTGTATTTAAAGTCAAAGTGCTGCACTTTCTCTATCACACATCGATTGCACATCTGTTTAGATTAGGGGTTCAGCATGCTCACTTATATACAATGGCACAGATATTAGGTGTGACTGTCTGTTCCTCTGACACAAGTGTGTGTCTTTATTCAGGCTACTTCACAACTGCAGCTCCAAAACAGAGCTTATAGAGTATTAGGCTTTATTTAGCAAATCCCCCTCACTTCCTCCTCCCTTATTCTTCACTCCTCCACTAGCTGGCAAGGCAGCATTCGTCAGCCACATCACTAATCACAGCACACGCCTCCATATTTGTACAAGTAAATGGCCAGGAATTCACCTATTGCCTCACAGGAATTCTGATTACAGTGTAATGAGCATATCACAGTACAAGGTATAAGTACATTTTACCTGCTCAGCTGTTAGGCCTCAGCAGCAGCACAATGATGCATATTTGTCATTGTTCTCAGTGAACTCTAGGTGGCAGTGGAGGAGAAGATGCTGCTTGTTTTGCAGCCAATGGGAAGTGAGGAATGATATCATGTAGAAGAAAATGGGAGAATGGGAAACAGAGATGTGTAGAGAAAATAAAAGATGAGGTAGATGTGAAGACAAAAGAAGGGGATGTACCAGAAGAATAAAAAGAGGGGTGGTGGTGGTGGGGGGTCACTGTAAGCACAGCTTTGGCATGAGCAGGATGAAGGAAAAACAAGGGGGAAGGGGGTTAATGCAAGGGGCAGGGTTTGAGGGTGGGGACCCCCTCCTCAGCAGCATCTGCTGGGTGTTAAGACAGAGGAGCTGGGCAAGAGAAGACAGAGGGATGAAAAGAGGGAGGAGGCGAGTGGCACAATGAAGCACATGGAGGCTGCTTGATGAAAATAACATGGTGAAAACAAGAAAAATGAGGGAATCAGTGAAAGAATGCATGACACTGGGCATGAAGAGGCACATGGCCGGGTCTGGTTAAAGCATGACCGAAGACAGATGGACGGCGAGATGAAAAAAGGAGATAATTATTTGTTCCTATGGGTAAAGTTAGGTAGCCAAAAATAACTGTATACCCCATTGGCATGCAGAATATACAGCGTCCATCCACATACGTCTGTCTGCAATAACATACATGCTCTCTACCTGCTTTTATGGCTGAATATTTATTTTGATTTTGGAAACATTAGTCTGAAATTTTACAGCTATAAATGATGATTTGTTAGGTGTCTGCTGTCTGACAATATCAGATGAAATACACTCTTTGAACCAGGAGTAAACTTTAGTTCTCTCAGTTTGTTTTACTTAGAGATAACAGTCTCTGTGAGTGATATATAGTGAAAATAACAATAAACAAGTCTCAGGTGGCAGTTTAAAGGAATATAAAGTTCCTCATTATTAACAAATTCTCTTTATTTACCATTATTGCTTTCCTTTCGTATTTGATTTCACTTTTACATTTTTATTTTCCTCAATGTCTGTTCAAAGCCTCAGAATACAGAATAAAAACATCAATTATCAAACATATGATTTAGACAGAAAACAAACATTTACTATCTGAATTGAAGTAACACGTATACCTCACACTAGATATTATTATAGATTATTGAGTAGTCTAATGATCTGTGTGCTCTGTGTGACATGTGTTGTTTGTTTCATAGGAAGTGTTTTGTAGTTGTGAAAGTGCACTGATGAAACTGAGTGTCCCCTGTCTGCAACAATAAACTAAACTCATATATGAGCGACAAAATAAAAACAGCCCACGCAATTCTCAGAGTTCAGAATACTACTGGGATTTCAAAGATATATGTATTTATAAATTTTATTTTCAGGCTGTTCTCATTCAGGTTTCATAGGAAATACTACGAAAAGTTATGCACGAGAATTTGCATGTTATATTTTTGTAGGTTTGCTTATATATATATCTATATATATATAGATATATATAGAAACCAAAGCACACACACATCTCTCTGTAGCTGTGAGGACACTCAGTGACATAATACATTGCCTAGGCCCTTACCCTGACCTTAACACACACACACACACACACACACACACACAAACACACACACACGGGGGGGGGGGTACCGTGGTCCTTCCTGCTCGTTGGCTGCAGCTGTGGCTGCGTTGCCATGACGTCACACGGATCGATGCTGTGGGAACGCGCGGACACGGAACAGAGAGAGAGAGAACGACAGAGAGAGAGAGAGAGAGAGAGAGAGAGAGAGAGAGAGAGGACTGAGTGAATCCACACCGACACTTCGAGGAGGGAGGGACGCAGACGCAGGAAGAATCGGTGCACGAGGGAAGAAAGTGCAGTTGTGTGTGCGTGCGTGCGTGCGTGAGAGAGAGGGAGGGTCGTCAACATGCGTGCGTGCACACACCTGCACGTTAATCTCTCCACCAGCTCATAATTGATGTCACTCACCGCTCGACACACTGCACTGACATAAGGTAGGCTGGAGAGTGTGTGTGTGTGTGTGTGTGTGTGTGTGTGTGTGTGTGTGTGTGTATTTACTCTGTACATGTGTGTTGGTCTCTTTCGTGACCTCTGTTCGTGTGTGTAAGTGTGTGTTTGTTTGTGTGTGTGTGCGCGCGCACAGTCACTTGTCAAGAGAAAGAGAGGTCACTAAAACACGAAACGAGTTTCTGCTCCTGGGCCACAGTGTCAGGAGATTCAAGCTGGAGGCCATGTGACTGCACGGAGACCTGCGGGGATTGGCTGTGGCCACTTGTGACGTCAACTGCCCCCGCCCCTTCAAGCACCCCCCCACTCCTCAGCCCTCCCTCCCACACACACACACACACACACACACACACTCCTCCTCCTCCTCCTCCTCCTCCTGCCTCCTTTATTTATTTATTTTCCTCCTCTCAGTTTTCCCCCACCTCTCAGCATCCTCAGTTGAGCGTGTAGGTTAGAGCAGCAGCAGCATCCTCCATGACTTAAGCCCCAGCTCTGTTCAGCAGCTAGGCCTGGCTATAGGACCCTTACCCCTCCTCTCTCTCCTCTCTCTGTCTACCTCTCTCCACATCTCTCTCCCTCTCGGGCTAGTTGACAGGCGACGTCTGGCTGGGGAGGGGGGGGGTGACGAAGGCTCACTGTTAGCCAGGGCGTTAGCCGGCCATCCATTCTACTGTATCTCTCTGTTAATCGAGGGCTTCTTCTCCATCTCCCTCTCTCTCTCCCCCCCCACACCTCCTGCCCTCTCATTTCCAGGCTCATTGGAGATAGAGGAATGCAAATCTGCAACCATGATGGAAGGTAAGAATATTTTTCATTATCATGTCGTCCCCTTTTTCTGCTATAAATCAGGGTAATCCTCCTTTATGTCCTTGTCCTACAGCGGCTCATCTCCTAGAAAGCATGTGTGTGTGTGTGTGTACAAGTACGAGTGTGTTTGGGAGCTTCAAATGTCATAAGCCGTCCTGCTATTTTGAGAACATGCATTCCAGTGACTTGCATGTTATTCTTAGGAAAAGGGCATAGCCACTGACTGTCTATCCACAGAGGCACAATGGCGAGGCTAATTGAACCGTGTGTACCTTTTGTGAACGTGTGTGTGCACTGTGCATATGTCTGAGTACCACCCCCCTTTCTCCCGCTTCCCATCGTAAAGGATTATTTGGATTTATTGTGCAGGAGGGCTTATGTGCCCAGCTGGCTCACTTGTATAAATTCTCTTTGTATGGTGTACTCTGAAACACCCATGCACACACACACACACATACACACACTATCTGCTCTACCATCCAGCCACTAGATTTCGTGCCTTCACGTGCACTTCTCTTCCTACCCATGGTCGGACTGATCCCCGTGTGTCGTGTTGAGCAGAGCGAGCACACGGAACATTGACGATTGTTTTAATATCATGTCCCTTTAACTGATGACATCATCAGGGGGTTAGGCCAGTGATGGAGGATGAATCCCTACAGCTCTGCAGCTGGCATGCAGAAGCCCTCATCCATCCATTCATTCATCCATCATTTTATTTATCCATCTATCATTTTCAGAACGCAGCTCTCGTGTTTTACCGTTGCATACTCGGATCCTATTTTAATTCCCAACGTGACTGAGAAGAGCAGCCACATGTTTACCTTTTTGAATCGGCCTTGACTTATGTAAGCTTTCACATGCATATCTCAAGGAAGTGAAAATAGTGTTTAACATAACTACAAATATTACTTCCTGATTGTTTACCCCCTTTAGTTATGTATATTTACTTTTTTCTATCATTTTTATATGGTTCATGTTTCAAAATGGCCAAATGATTCTGTCATTCAGGCCTGTTTACTCCAGTGCAGCTGATAAATGAGCTGGATGCCAGTGTGTTCACTGCTCAGGAAGAGTCTAATTAGGTGGTTGTCTGGTTGTTTGTGTGTCTGTGTTTGGACATGATCAATGTTATTGGTGCCTCTTCACGTCTTGTGGTTTCTTATTATGCTGTTTAACAGTGGCCAGTTTTGTTAATGATGAAGGGATGTGATAGTATTGGATATTCAGGATTTTCCAGTAGTTTTAAGTGTAGTGATTTCACTGGTTATTTGCAGCTATATTTAATCGAATTTAGCTCTTTTAAGTCTCGTGCTTGTTTCTGTATAGATGCATTGGAAGGTGCTGTTATTTTTACTGAGACATTTCTCAGTTTTACAGAAGTAGCAGTAAAGGCATCATGAAATTGCATTTAAATATTAAAAACCAAAGACTAAATCAATCCTTCAAACTTTATAGGTTTGTAAGGAACTAATGTTAAAGCGCCAAACTGTCCAGTTAAATAAAGAATTGATACCAAATCAAAGTTGAATGGCAAACACAAATTCAAATAAGCAGTTCTTAGCTCAACAAAAAAAAAAAGATGTAGGATGAATAGAACTGGAATTGTTATTAAAGTCTCATGATCAGTCTTATTTGTAGGAGGCCGTTATCTAAATAGTTGAAGTAAAGGTCTGTTTACCTGCCTGCTATGTGAATTCATTCTAAATCTACATTTAAATTGAAGTGGCTGATTCAACAATAATGGCTGTGCATGAATGTCAGATAACGGTGTATCAAATTGCCCTGCTGTGTCATGAAAAACGGTCAGGCATCTGGAGCAGCTTTTAGAATCTCAACAGCATCACTGTTTTTCACTTGAACATCATTATACAAACTGCTCAGTCGGTTATAGTTTAGACAAAAACCCTGATACATTAGGCTGCACCCTTTCTGTCTTTGTCATAGTTGGGAACAGAGCCGTGATGTCTAATAAGTTCATGTTGACTGAGCAGGTGCAGATGAATACTAGATGATTATAAATAGCTTGAAGTTAATGATCAACCCAAGGTGACAAATTCATTGTTTTCCCTGAGTTATTAAGTTCATGTTGATGAGCTGTTTTCACATATGAATTTGTCTTTCACATATGAAGAACGCTGCAGAAGACTGTTAGGTCAGACATGTTCACATGTTCAGAACATTCAGGCAAGTGTTTGCGTCTGGGTATAACCTGAAGGAGGCAGGAAGTGTTTTTCTTTACAGCACATCAACGCTGGCGTTGTCAACTTATCACCGAAAGCTCTTGAATCTAATTGTCTTTCCTAGTTGACACCTCCATCTGTGTCTCTCACACCTCTTTTTCATCCTGAGATATTTGTATTCTTACTTTTTTCAGTTGCGTCCGTGACGTGTTACAAACATCATCAACACATAGTCACTTAGTCCCTTGGAATCCTCCGGACAATTTCCTGTTGTATTCTCACATGGGCACACACATTGTCTGGCGATTTCACTAGGGGGGGCTGGCAGGAAAAGTTTCGGAAAAAGTCTGGAGCAACTGACCCGGACATTTGAGTTCTCACATACAGCCCCTCTGGAAAATTTCAGCAAAATGAATTCAGTTCATGTCATGTGTCATGAGGGTAAAGTTTGGTCTGAGTGATTCCAGACAAACTTTTTTTCTGTCCATCGTTGAGAGCACTGCAGTACACAAATCTCATGGTTCCATTTTATGCACAATTAGAGCTGCAGTGTGGCACAGAAATGGTAGACAGAACAGAACAGATTGCTCCTACAGTAAATAAGGATTCCACAACTTCACCTTAACAGTAATGCATAATAAGCTAATCTCATGCTCCTCCTCCTCCCCTGCAAGTGTGCTGTCCTGCCATCGTCTGCTTTTGTCACGAGCCAAGTTGTTAGGTAACAGTGACAAGGAGAAAAAAAAAAGAGACAGACCGTCTGCAAACAGCTTCCTCTTCCACTGGCATGGCTAACACAGGCTTAGCATGGACTGTGTGAGGGCAGGATTACAGTCAGGTGTTAAAATTGGATGCTAATCCTTGTTAGCTCTGCTTTTTAAAGCCCCATACCACGGCCAGCATGGTTGTCCCTGCGATGACTTCATTTTAACCCCACACAGACACAGAGGCTTCACCTAATGGGGTGTGCTAGTATCAAGGATGCCAGTAACAATCAGGCAATTTACCGTCATTCAAACCAAAACTGAATCATATTTTTTTTACAGGACCCTCTCCCCCTGTATAAACCAACATAATATTACTTGATAATATCTCACAAAAGTCCTGGTTTTACTACAAATGGGATTATTGGTTATGTGGGATGTAGTGTATCCATCGTTGTGAGGCAGTAACAAATCTCCTGTTTGCTTTTCTGTACTCAAGAGAGCTTACACTTGCGTGGTGGTTGTTTCAAAAGTGACTCACTCATCTCTCCTCAAGGCAAATGTGCCATGTAGCATGGGATTCCTAATCTAGTTGGACTTTTGAGGATAGAAATTCAACAGATACAATTTTTAATTGTATAAGAACAATATACCCCCTATATACCTTTTTTTCTGTGGATATTCCTGGTCCCCAGAGGATGAACCCTAATACTTGACCTTGTAGTGCTACCATCAAGCCAACACGTGGCCTTGTATGTAGCTAGCTGCCACAACATTTCGTCCTCCTTCCTATGGCTTAACATTTCACATTTGTCCCATCCTATGCAAAATATCTCATCTCACCCTATTTATAGATTCTTATATAACTTTGGTGAGCATGTTTATATTCCCATGGGATAAACCCTTTTGATTTTAATCACCCTGTGGCATTTCCTGCAGCATCGCTATCAGGAGAACGTTAACATTGTAGTTCCAGCACTGATGAGGCTCTTAAGTTTAGCACAATTAGCAGGTTGCTGTTGTCAGGAAGGCTTCAGTGTGTTGTCAGGATATTGTTGACTCCATCCAACAAGTCTGTGGGCTGTAATGAGCACTGCTGACTTGTGAAGGCCTGCAGACTCGTAGTCTTGTTAATCCCAGTTACTCGCTGTAGGAATCACACTGTCACAGGGAGATCCAGGACTTAAGCGTTTGACTGGATAAACCCTTGACTGGAATGCTGCGGAGTAAAGGGCAGAGAGGACATCAGGCCATATGATGGGCTCCACCGGCCAGTTGGAAAGGTCTCTTAACCTGACTTCATATGAAATGATTATGATTGCTTGCTTCGCTTATATATGGTCGAGTTGAAGGGGGGGTGTATCAGTAGCAAATGATATCAGTATAATTGAATTGGTTTTGCAGTGATTTCAAATTGAGCTCTGTCTGTTTCAGCTCATGGCAAACAAGTATGGCGGTGACCCACTGACTCAGCTTTTCAAAATTATCTCAGCATAAAAGATCAAGTCTTGTAAATGAGTTGAAAGCTGAGAGATTCATTTAGAATAACCCCAGTTCATGGTCGAGTATCAGCACTGGGGCCGTATCTTATTATCAAACTTATATTATTAAGTTTGTCATAACAGGCTTATATTTATATTGATAGACATCGTCATGAATGTTGAAAGACTTTAGTTACAAGATACTTTGCTTTTTAACTGGTGGAAACATTATACACGAAGCATACACATATGAATTTCGATTATAAGTACATTCCAACCAATCAGTTTCCTGTTACAGACTCATCAATATCTGTATTTATTTGTGTGGATATGCTCCAATTTGAAAACTTTAGTAACAAAGCGGAAAAGATGTGTTTTTGCTTAAATTTTACGTTACGTTTTTCTTCATTTCTATTTGCGTTTTCTTTTGAATATGATAACATTTATGTTTAAAATGTAAAATATGTAAATTAAAATGTTTTGTCTTAGGAGGTTTTAAATCATTATCAGTTGCACTCTAACTGACTGCTACTCAAACTCCCTTGAACAAAAAGTAATAACGCTACCTTGTTAGACATGGATGGCATCATTATCTCATAATCTCTAACATGCAGCAGTAATAG